AGTACGGAGGGTGGGTGAGATCCGGAGGGAGCACTCCCGCTGTAGCCCTCGGTCTTTTTCATTCGTTTGGAAACCCTCTGGGCTATGGACTCCTTAGCCCTCTTCTTCCTCTAGGTCTTCCTCATTGTTTCACCAACTTCTTGTTTCACCCTCATAAGTTGAGAACCAGTAGCAGAGATTCCCGTCCCTCCAGAACCTTCTTTCGGTCGGGTCATAGCAAGAAACGATGAAATAAATCGAAAAGAGATAGGAAACGAAAAGAAAGATCGAACTAATGGAGCAAAGTCTTTGGGAGCAAGAATTTCGAAAGAGATTATCCGAGAGAAAGCTTAATAAAAAAATAATAAAAGCAAAAAGAGAGTAAAATAAAGAAACCAGAGGAAGTTACCTGGGAAACCGAATCGAGACGTGGAGAAGGTGGGGAGAGTTGCAGTTAATCTAGGCAGCTTTATATCTCGTCAAGTCTCAAAAATTGGGGAATAACTATTTCAAATTCATTTTATCTGAGTCGTTAATCTCATTAAGCATAATCATAGCCGTCGGATTAGATAAGGGATATCCTCGAATAAGATAACGGGTAATCATTATCTCAGCGAAAAAGATAAGATTCGGCGGCTAGGGTTAGCTTCTGAGACAAAGTATCTTCTCTCGAAAGCTGGGGGCAACTGTTGGGCCCAAATATGGCCAGCTAGCTGAGACTAATGGGCTCGAGCGATAAGAGTTGACAATGGGCAACTGTAAGCCCATTGGCAATTAATCTTTTGAGAAAAGAGTTAAAAAGAAGCCGAAGGCTGTTTGCTAAGGAATAAACGTTAACAAAATAGGTCACGGAAGAAAGCTCCGTACCTCACTTACAACGAGCAACATGAGTAGCTCAGGCTGGATGCGCAGAACCCGGTCAAATGAGACTGTTGAGAATCCCCTAACTCACGGAGCAAATCTCGGAGGTTGGCTAGGATCGTTCAAGCATGGCTGAGAGCTATTTAAAGAAAAGGAGGAGATCAGAGAAACGGATTCTCTCTCGATTCATTCATTCAACCATTTTTATACACATTTTAGTTCACAAAACATTCTCGTAATTCTTTGTAATCATCAGAATCGTCTTTGTAATCATTCTTCACCAAAAAAATTCAATACAATTATATTCATTATACAAAGTTCTAAACGGTATTCAGCCCACGTTATCTTTTCTCCAATCTTAACCTGATCTAAAATTAGGAGTGAGTTTTATCCCTCACAGTAAGCGCCATTTTCCGTTCCTACACAGTGAAGCTAACGTTGCAGTTGCTGAGATTCCAAGTCTTGAGAAGGATGAAGCCTTCAGTGTAGTGATGCAACCAGTTGCTGCCTAACTATCAGACCAAAACCGAGCCTTTTGTCCATTCTCCACTCTTAGTTTAATGAGAGGAAACACCACTGATCGAAGCTTGATCAGTATATTTTCCAACCAAGAGTTGGATTATAGGCTTGATAGTCCATTAATTTTGGAGGGATCCTTTGACTATCACTTCCTCGAAGTAAGTCGCCCATACCAAATCTTCTCTGAAGAAAAGCAACCAGATTAGTCTCAAACAGCTCGCCTTATTCCACGTCAATATGTTCTTAACTCCTAAACCTCCTTGTGCTTTAGTAAATGTTACTTTTTCCCAAGATACTTTAGCAGCATGGTACCCTTCTAGATTTCCTTTCTATAAGAAGAAGCTGCAAATTGAATTTATTTTGTTGATGCATGCTTTAGGGAGGATAAAAGAAGACGTCTAGAAGGTTGTAACTCCAGCTATCATTGTCTTTATCAAAAGCAAGCGACCCAAGAATGATAGAGTTTTCACAGACCAGGAGGAGAATTTTGATTTTATTTGCTGGAGAAGCGGCTGGCAGTTCGCTAACCCTAGCCATGATGAGCGCGTCGATGGCGGCTTTGTTGCTTATTCCGCTAACCCTAGCCATGATGAGTTTGAACCTACTCATGAAATCGCGAAGGGATTCGTCTTCCTTCTGCGACAAGCTCCAGAGATCAGCGTCTGATGTTTCTCGATTTATAAACATCGAGTATTGTTTCAGGAATTCGGAAGCAAGCCAGCGGAACTCCTGATCGAGTTTCGCTTGAGTTTGGCGAACGATTCGAGCGCTGCTCCTTCCAAGTTTTTGACAAAAAGACGACAGTAGCGTGCGTCTTTTTCGTGATCCTTGAGCTTGGCCCGTCGCATGGTGATCTGGAAAGCCTGTAAGTGCGCTTTGGGATCAGTCGTCCCGTTGTAGGTTGGCACCTTGAGTTTCTCCGGATCAGGTAACTTGACCTCGGTGATGCGAGCGGTAAAAGGCGTTTTCCGAGATTCGTACAGAAGCCGATCGATTTCGGGTGCAGTGCTGGTAGCGTGATGAATATGGGATTTCACCGCTTTTAGCTCTGCAGCCGTTTTGGTAATGTACTCGCGGAGATCGCGAATCTCTGTTAGTTCGCCAGCGGTTTTCCGAGCTCGTCGGCGTTTGCTGCGAGTAACTGGAGATCGTTCCTCGGCGGTTTTCGCGCATTGCGCAAGATAGAGGTCCTCCTCATCTCCAGTAAGAGAACGATCAGGGGAGGACTTTGGCAGAGGGCTGCGAGTTTTTCTTCTCCTAGGATGAACGTCCGCATCCTCGACTGACAAGTCGGCTTGGTCGCTCGTTTCCAAGCTAACCCTTTCGATGCCGTCTCACTCGGTCTCCTGTTCGCGAGTAGGATATTTTTCCGATTCGTTTACCATCGCGTCAGGGTTATCTTTTTCGGAGTCTTTCTCCGTCTGGTTTCCCTGCTCGGTTCTGGGACGATCCATGGGAGTCGCGAAATCGAGCCTCCTTCCGCGGATCTTAGTAGTTCCACGGGGGCGAATCGCTCTGGTTTTCGCAGTTAGGGTTTCAACCTGTTTTACGAGTGAACCAATGAGATTTTCCTGCTCTTCCGATTTCTTGTTAAAATCGGAGAGCATCTTTTCGACGGTCTCGGCGTTAGCGTTTGTAACGTTTGCCGCAGACACATCTTTTAGTGGTTTATTGTCATCGTTGTCGCTTTCGCGAGTTGGTTGTTCTTCTGTCATCGCTTCTTGATTGAGCGTGCTGCGGCTTTAGTGTAAGATAGATCCAACCCCCCCCCCCTCCTTCTAGCGCCAAACTGTGGGAACCGAAATTCTCGTACTGTCAATAAATCGTAAATAAGGGAACTTTGAGTAAACCTTAAGTTACGAGAGGACCCGGCTATCTGCGGAACCGCACACAAGCAATTAAGAACACGACAAGATTAAGTAATAAGAGAATAAAAACGAGATTGAGAGCAAGAAGGATCTTATTCCGAGTTTGCGTATGAATGGTTACAACAAGAGTAGCCTTAGCTGCGTGAGACGTCAGAGATATTCCTAACCCTAGCGTTGTAAGACTAAATCCTAGTTGAGACGCAGCTCGATAACAAAAACGGAAACTTCTCTAAATGCTAAGTTTGGTGGTGAAAGCTCTGAAAACTCGTCCTCTGCTTCTGTCCTCTGCCTCTTGTTTATATACTCCCTTCCTAGGCGGTTTAGTCTTTCCATTTTGCCCAGATTCGAATTTATCGAGAATCTTCCATTTATTTCGATCTTTCTTTTTTTCCTGCGGAAATCTTCTATTTATCTTCAAACTTGCCATTTATCTTCGAATTTGACATTTATCTTCTTTCCTATGAGTAAATCATCAAAACGTCGTCGTATCTTTGGGTTGGATTTCGTTAAAGTCGCGAGTGGGCTTTTATCGCGTTTTAGGACTTTCCGAGCCGTTTAGCGATAAGAATCCGTTTTACGACTTTAGACGAGATTGTTTCCTGATGCGATGCCGTTTTTAAGTAAGTTTCTCGAGTTAATCATAAAGTTTGACAATGTTCGATGTTTCGGTTAATCGTTGCCATTTTCTACGATTTACTCGACACTTTTATTAAAAACGCGTTTTTTACGATTTCTCACGAAAAATCTCGAGTAAATCGTACAGTTTAGGCAATGTTCAGTGTTTTTTTTTAACCGTTTCCGTTTTATACGACTTCCTTGACTTCTTTCGAGAAAATAAGACCTTACGGTTTTTATCGTAAAACTCGAAAGATAAGACGGATCGAGAAGGAACGAGAGACATTCCAACCATAGTTTAGAACACCATCGTGTCGAAGGACGTATGCCTTGATTCGAGGACGTGGGAAATCGAGGCTTGGGATAATTAGCTCGACGTACGGCGAGCTATATGGGACGTCCGTAGCTCGCCATACGGCGAGCTAGCGTTGGTCGGGATAGCTCGTCGTACGGCGAGCTATGCTTGGTCGAGATAGCTCGCCGTACGGCGAGCTAGTCCGAGGCCACTTAGCTCGCCGTACGGCGAACTAGTTCGGCCAAACCAGCTCGCGTTTTACGATGGTTACGGTTTTTCGCGGTTTTGTGCTTAACTCGGAAGATCGTGTAATCTGTGTTTGTTTCGTTCTTTCGAGATAACAATTTCTGAGTTTTCCGCGGATTTCCTTTGTTCGGAAACTTATTAGAATTTCAAAAAACGACTTCTCGGGTTTTATAAAACGATTTCTCGAGTTTTATAAAATGATTTCTTGAGTTTTATAAAATGACTTCTCGAGTTTTATCAAACGACTTCTCGAGTTCGATAAAACGACTTTTCAAATTTTATAAAACGTATTTAGTATTTTTTATGGGAAGTTTTGGCCATTGATTCCGTTGTACTGATTTTGACCCCAACAACATCCTCTCTGCTTATCTGGACCCATGTACCGACGAACCTTCATATGACTTATTCACCTCTGGTTTGCTGTACATCTTTTGTGAGCTCAATATGACTAATAATGTTCTCAAGGGGGTCAATACATTGATTCAACCATCGGACCATGTTATATGTGTGTATGTGTACATCACCCATTCTCCTGTTGATATGATATCCTTCATCATCGTGTTATGAGCGATATAGACTTCATCTAGCCTATCATTCTGCAATTTCGTGGTTACCAGTCATGATTCAGATGCTCCACAGTTAGCGTCGATCGATAATTGGTAGCGGTCGTCAATTGACTGTCCTTCGTCAGGTTCTTTCTCTTGTTGTTTCTGAACAATCTGAATTGTAAGTTCCAGCTTGTGCTTCATCTCTTTCTTGCACGTGGTTAACCAGCCGATATTTTTGTTAAATGGGTAGTAGTCATCATCGATGCTCTTGTGATAATCCTCTGTCATACACTCATGGGCTCTGTAGATTTTATGCACCATGTCATCTACCTCTTCTGTACTGTAATGGTCAGCTGGTGGCCTGGTATACTCAAAACTCTCTACGGTAAGCACATATAGTTGTAACCAATCACTACCTCTCTTTGGAGAATCTTTCTTATGTCTTCCCTTGATACATTGATGATTCCACCATCTATATTTCGTGCATTGCTATCTTCATCTCAATAAACTCAATACTCATCCCTGGATTCCCAAAAAATCATATCCTAAGTGGATTCTTATTGGGTTTGGCCAGATTAACGTTGATTGATGGTAAAGGACCAGCATCGATCGATGCCGCGTTCCAAGTTTCGTCGGGTCCTCTCAAATCTGTAGCTTCCTCTAGTGAAAGAGCATGGCATTGGATTGCTTGTTCTTCCAAATAAGACATGTCGTACTCAGTATTTGCCGCATCATGTCCTAGCCCAGGACTGGCATCAATCGATATCAAAGAGTGGCTACCGATCAACCGGTTGTTGTTTCCCTTATATCGATGTCATGGGCTGGGTATCGATCGATGCTTCATCGTCAGGGTCATCCTCTTGCTCGAAATCTCAGAAACATGTAGCCACAAGTCCTGGTTCATAAAATAAATCAATGAAAGCAGGCTTGTTCCTAATATGAACAGGTTCATAGTAGTGAGTTCGATACATAAGAGATAGATACATCATGTTTTGTCTGCATGTCGCATACTACTCTTACAGTAGCAATGAAAGCTATTCAAAGTAGCAGGGCTCAACTTTTCTCCACTTTGATGTCTAAGACATGAAAATCTACAAGGATTAGAGCATTGCATATTTTCACTTGGAGATCTTTCACCATACCTCCTGAATTTACCTTAGAGAAATCCACAAAAGTGAATGAATCACTAGAAAGCTCCACCTTAAGCTTAGTATCTTTGTCATGGCTCTTGGCATAATGCTTACTGAAGAACCGGTATCGTAGAGTGCGTGTGGGTAATCATGTTCCTTGATGTTGCAGGGAACCACAAACTTTCCAGGGTCTCTTCTTTTCTTCAACTGGACCCTCTGCTTCTTCCTCTCTTTCAGAAGATTGAACATTCTTTCAATGTCCTTATCTATTTCATTGGTTTCTCTGTAAAACATCCATAGTCTATGGGTGTAATAAGCTTCCTTGAACGGGGTTTCTAAAGGGATTCTAAGAACTCTTCTAGTAAAGTTACCCATCTCTTCCTCATTAGATCCTCTTCAAAGATGCTTAGAGACATTCTTCTTCCTCTATGTTTGCACCACAGCTTCATCCATTACCATAGAATCTGGTTCATCTATTTGTCTGGGTTTGTGTGGGATGGTAGTCGGATGTTTATTGGCATAGAGAAGATTCATGTCTATTATTGGCAACTGACACTTTATCGTTTCGAGCGCTCGTCAATCGATGGTAGGGTCTGGCTGTCGATCGATCTTCACTGCTTCGCATGTTCCTTTGTATTCATCAGGTATCGTGGATCGATGGGTCAGTCTGGTCATCGACCGATGGTCACCCGAACAAGGTGAGGGTTTTTCACGAGTATCATAATCTTGGTGCCTAAATTCTTCTACCACTTGCCAAAATCATCACCCACAATGAAATTGAAATGATGCCTCTTTTCAACCTCAAGCTTCTCCTTAATTAAGGCCTCTTGTCTCTTCACAGCCTCACTTGTCTGAAAAACCTGATTCTCTAACTTCTTCACATGGGTGCTAGGGGTTTCAAACTTGGTATGGAGCTTGATATAAACATCATCAACCTTCCCATTAAAGTCTATTTTCATCTTCAGCTGTCCCTCCATAGGTTTTACAATCATGGCTTCAAATTTACTTTCCTGGGTGGCTGGTGGGATGTTATGATAGGAGGAAGATCCATAGGTTATGTTGTTTGTTGTAGGGTCTTTACTGCTGTGAACCTTGGTTCTTGTTACCCCTCTGATCAGTGCTATAGGATTTTTTGTTGCTCTGGTTCCAATATCTCTGGAATCCCTTTCCAACAAAGTCCACATCTTCTTCTTCATCCTTCTCTTGTCAGATCCTATAGTTTCCACATCTTCTGGAAAACTTACTTGTCTCTTCAGAAACCTCTGAACATTGTCCAGCTTGGCTTTGACCTCTTCCATCTGATCATTGTTCAGAGTAGAGACTAATTTTTTCCTTTCAAAATTGGCGTTTATGGTGTTGTTGTTAGTTGTCAAGTTCTCTATCAATCTGATGGCTTCTGCTGGGCTTCTAGTGCATATAGTTTCTCACTGGCTGTGTCTAAAGTTCACTGGTATGATAAATCGACACCTTTATAGAAAGTACTGAGAAGTTTCACTTCATTAATTCATGGTGTGGAAAATCTCTTTGGTTGTATTTGAATCTGATTCAGGACCTTTTGAAATACCCTGAAGACTCATGTGTGAATGTAGCAATTCTGCTTCTCAATTCCTCAATCCTGGTATCAACAAAGAAGTTATGCAAGAAAGCGTTTTTGATGCCAGTCCAGGATGTAAGAGATTATGGTGGTAGCTACTTAAGCTAATATGAAATTTCTACAGCCAATGAGTACTTGAAGACCTTGCATATATGAAATATAAATTGTCACAAAATTTGTGAAGGAAAATAGATTGAATTGTAAAGTTCATGTTGAAAATAAGCATTTTCTCCCTAAAGAATCCCATGGCCTTGATAAATATGGAAAATGGATGAGCATTAATTATTGACCGCGCTTTTTCTTTGTACAGAAAAAAAAATGATGATCTTTGACGAATGATTTAAAGCCTTTTGCAATGCAGGTGAGAAATGTTGTGGTTGGACGAGTAGAAAGTAATCAGTAGGAGATCCTCTTTTGTTGTAAAAGTATGGGGAAATGGTTATGTTTATTTCATTAGCATAAGGTTCCCTTATATAGGGAATTACAAGATCCTAAAAAAGGAAAAACCTAAACCAACTAGGAAAAGGAATTAGTACAAAACCTAATACAACACAGAATAGGAAAAACACTAAATCCAAATCCAACAAGGATTAGGAAAACTTGACCGACCCAGAACTCTGATGAGCCAGTCCGGTATGGTTTCAGTAGGGCCGGCCGGTTATGGACATCCACACCATTTGGTTTATAAAACTCCCCCTTGGATGCCATAACCATGTAATACATTTTGGATGTTGCCTCATTAAAACCTTTCTAGGAAAAACCCAAAACCCAAAGGGATAAAACCGGTTAAAACCATGGATACGGAAAAAGATTACAACATGTATTACTCCCCCTGTTTTGTACCTCACTGAAGGTCTTTAAGCCGACGCATTCCTATCTGATGCGTGAGCTTCTTGAACGTTGAGGTTGGAAGCAACTTGGTGAATAGGTCTGCTGAATTGTCACTTGAACGAACTTGTAGCACTTGGACCTCGCCAGCTTTTTGTAGATCGTGGGTGAAAAATAAATTTGGCAAAATGTGCTTCGTCCTATCTCTTTTGATGTAGCCGTCCTTAAGCTGAGCATTACAAGCTGCATTGTCCTCGTACATGATGGTCGGGGCTTCCTTGCCTTCAGTTATCCCACAATCTCTTCTAATATGTTGGGTGTTGGGGTCAAAATCGGAACGACGGAATCAACGGCCGAAACTCCTCGCAGAAATATAAAAGAAATCGTTTTATAAAACTCGAAGAATCGTTTTATAAAACTCGAGGATCGTTTTATAAAACTCGAGGATTGTTTTATAAAACTCGAGAATCGTTTTATAAAACTCAAAGAATCATTTTATAAAACTCGAGGATCGTTTTATAAAACTCGAAGAATCGTTTTATAAAACTAGAAGAATCATTTTATAAAACTCGAGAATCGTTTTATAAAACTCGAAAAATCGTTTTATAAAACTCGAAGAATCATTTTATAAAACTCGAGAATCGTTTTATAAAACTCGAAGAATCGTTTTATAAAACTCAAAGAATCATTTTATAAAACTCGAAGAATCGTTTTATAAAACTCGAAGAATCATTTTATAAAACTCGAGAATCGTTTTATAAAACTCGAGGATCGTTTTACAAAACACGAGAATCGTTTTATAAAACTCGAGGATCGTTTTATAAAACTCGAGGATCGTTTTGTAAAACTCAAGAATCGTTTTATAAAACTCGAAGAATCATTTAATAAAACTCGAAGAATCGTTTTACAAAACCGCGAAAAACCGAAACCGCCGTAAAACGTGAACTAGTCGCGACTAGTTTGCCTGCTGGCGAACTAGAAGCTTCCCAAGAGGCGCTGACTTTGCCCCAAGGGTTCTTATCGCCTAGATCGCCATACGGCGACCTGGCCAAGCTGAACTAGCTCGCTGTACGACGAGCCGACCATCCCGAGCCTCGATCTCCCACATCCTTGATTCAAGGCATACGTCCTTCGACACGATCGTATTCCGAATCACGGTCGAAATGTCTCCCGTTTCGTCTCGATCTGCCTTATCGTTCGAGTTTTACGATAAAAACCGTAAAACTCTGTTTTCTCGAAAAGAACTCGAGGAAATCGTATAAAACGACAACGGTTAAAACAAACACCGAATATTGCCTAAACTATACGATTTATTCGAGATTTTTTGTAAAAATCGTACAAAAAGCGTTTTCAATAAACCTCGAGTAAATCGTAGAAAACGGCAACGACTAATCGAAACATCGAACATTGCCTAGCTTTACGATTAACTCGAGAAAATTATCTAAAAAACGGCATCATATAAGGAAACGATCTCGTCTAAAGTCGTAAAACGGATTTATCGCAAAACGGCTCGGAAAGTCCTAAAACGCGATAAAAGCCACTCGCGACTTTAAAACGAAATCTAACCCAAAGATACAACGACGTTTTGGCGATTTACTTGCAGAAAGAAGATAAACGTCAAACTTGAAGATAAATGTCAAGTTTGAGGATAAATAGAAGATTTCCACGGGAAAAAAGGAAAGATCGAGATAAATGGAAGATTCCCGATAAACTCAAATCTGGGCGAAATGGGAGGACCAAACCGCCAAAAAAGAGAGTATATAAGCAAGAGGCATAAGACAGAAGCTGAGGACGATTTTCAGAGCTCTCATCTGAGTCTTTGACAACTTTTCTAGACTTAGAATTTTCCGCACATAGAAACTTAGGATTTTTCTCGACAAGTTCGGTTTCTATGACTGGCGCTCAATTACTACACAAACTCGCCCAGGCAGTTCGATCTCTGGTCCAGCTCTACCAACTGAACTACGTTCGACTGATCCCCGAAAGGGGTACGTAGGCAGCCTTTCATAAGGTTCAGTCCGAAATCAATCAAACCTTTTTTCCTATCTTTTTCCGTCTTTCGTTATCGAGCTGCAACTCGACTTGATCTAGGGTTTTATGTTTGTAACTCGCTGATGGCCCCTGCGGCCAAAGCCTTTGTAAACCCTTGTAATGATC